TATAGCTGTGAGTGGGACATGAAGCTTTTCTCCAGCAGACCTGAATTTTTCCCCTCGCAACCCTCCCCCCCCCCCCCCCCCCCCCCCCCTCCCCATAACTGGTTATCTGGATATTAAAGCTGATAAGACTGAACTAAAAATCTCAAATGGAAGAATTCAGGTCTGCTGGAGAAAAGCTTCATGTCCCACTCACAGCTATAGAGACAAAATGGGATTTCTTTAGGAGAGCATTGTTTTAGAGCTTGGACAAAGCTCAGGCAATTCTGCTTGTTATTGCTTTAGTCTACTGCTTTGCAGTACTTCTGAGGATCTCAGGAAAGGCCAACGTGTGCTCTGACAAGACATGGCTGTATAGCCATGTAGCTAGAAGAAACAGGCCTGTGAGATCTGTCAGCATTCCTCTTCAGCCGTTTTGAAAGGATAAGTGTACAGTAAGAGCAAATAAAGTCAAAGGCCTTGCTTTTGTGAGATGGCTTTCACTGATCTGAAGCCGTTTTGTTGGTGTAGTGGCATCTCTGCAGTTGGCCTTTAAATCATTAGCATTTTAAATGGACAGAAAGATACACGTGCACAGTGTGTTTCTGGAAAAATGCTACATAGGTGTTTAGAGCACCTGGCAGTATTTTCTAAGCCATATATCTTACTAATTAGGGAGTTTTCTAAAGACAATGAACTATGACCGCTGCCTCGTGAAAGGGAAGGTCATACAGTGATTTGGCTTTATTCATAATGACACACTAAACCAATAAGATAATTGTGACTAGATAAGGGCTTTTGTTCCCCAGCTGTGATGCTCAGTGTGCTCCCATTGCAGCGAGCTGTTGATTGCAGGTTTTTGCCGATTGACAGTGCCTTATGCTGATGAAATGCAATTCAGAAGAAAGCACTGTCCTCTGCATAATAAAAACATACAAGATTTTTTGGCATTAAAAGCAAAACAACAAAGTCCTAACAGTAATCAGACCCATGTCAGGTTTAGGTGGGTCTCAGTTTCGCTAGGATAAACAGGAACTGAGAGTTTTCTGTTTTTCCCCATCTTGTCTCAACCTTCTGCATACTTGAGAAAATGAAGTGAAATACTCCTTTCTTATTCTACTAATGAATCCTGGCTGAATCAATGCCTGATAGCCTCTCTTCATGTCACAGGGCATCACTTCAGCTGTGCTAGTGCAGCTTTCATAATTGCGAAAGGTAAATTAGTTTCTCAGGGCATGTGTTGGAGTGTCCGCTGTTGGCTTCGCAGTGACGATTTGTGATGTGAAGGCACACAGGTTTCTCTGCAGCTCCTGGAACACAAAGCGGCTCAACTTATCACAGTGCAGAGGAAACCTGTAGCTGTAGCCACGTGAGCTGGTCTCCATGCTTCTGTAGGCCTTATTGGAGCTGCTGGAGGTGGCAGCAAATGCAGAAGTTGGTGCAAGCAAGTTGAATTGCAGTCTGAGCCTGGTGTTAGGGGGGAAGCAGCAAAGCAAATAGCAGGTTTGCTGTAGACTTAAGAACCATGATCTACCTTTTGTTTGTTTTAGCTGTGTTTTGTGGGTCTTATTGCTATGCCACTTAAAAATGGAAGCATTTCTGCAGTTTTCTAGTTATTCAATGTAAAGAAAATATCTCCAGATATGTTTAGTTTATCCTGCCTATTTCCAATTAGAGCAGCTTGTGGTGAATGCTGCATTCCACTCAGTAACGCAGCAGAGCTTTCCCCACGGCTGTCTTTCTGCTTTGTGTAGTGACTTTGCTATGATCATCTCACTGATATATAGAGCTGCCAGAAGCAGAAAGCAATCAGAATGGGAATTCTCCTGCTTATTGTAGGCTAGGACCTCATCTGTCTTACCTCATCCCTTTTGAATTAGCCTTAATACAGTGTCTGAAAACAGCTCAGTAGTAAAAGCACAGACATATTGAAGTGTGCTCAGTGATGGAGGATGCTGCTTTTTCACAGTACTGTGCAGTGCATCTGATGGAGATCAGAACTGCAGTTCTGTGTGGCCTAAACTAGTGAGTGTACACAGTAAAAAGCACTGGGTGGCTGAGTGAATGTTTCAAAGTACAGAGGGACAGCAGCATGGAGACTGCTGGAGGCTGCTGGGACCTGCCTGGCCTGGGAGCCTCGCTCTCCCCATCCCCAGGCTGGCTCCTGGTGCGTTCCACGTTTATTTAGGCTCTCACTCTGTACTCCGTGCCTCCTGCTGTGCTTCTCTTCACCTTGCTTGCAGTTATGGAGAGGAGATTTGTGTTATGCAGTAGGACTCTAGTCAGGAGAGCTGTTGGTGCACCTGCTCTGTTTGCATTATTTGTGTTATTTTACTAATCCTATGTAGTATCTACCAAGACGGTCTGGAAAATTTTTTGCCTGCCATTGTGAAATGTTGCATATCAGTGTTTATTCAGTGAAGAGAGGAATAGGAAGAGTAAAGCTGTAGTACGTATTTCAATATAGTAGTGACATTGTATACTTCTCAAGTGAAGTTGTGTTAAAATGGAGCTTTAAATCTCCCTGAGTACATGTAGCGAAGTGACTTTTGAAACGCATTAAATTTTAAACTCCAGGAGTGGTCACGGAGCCAGGGTATGGCCATCAGTCCTCATTTGTGCTTTCAGAGAAGTGTGTGTGGTGTAACTTTTAGTTAGAGGTGCCGCTTGCCTTCCTGCTTACCTTCCCTTGGAGCTGTGGCTCCAGGCTGGGCTGGATGGGGCTGTGAGCAGCCTGGTGTAGAAGGAAGTGTCCCTGCCTGTGCAGGGCTTGGAACTGTGTGGTCCCTGAGGTCCCTTCCAACCCAAACCATTCTATGATTCTTAGTGTGTGCTGGGAAGTTGGGGTATAAATGTCACAGATACTGCTTCATGGAAACAAAGGTTTTCTTCATCCATGTTTTATAGTGAAACCCTGGCAAAGGTATAGCATTCATTTTTATTCTGTTGTCTTCTGCTGTGTTCAGGGCTGAAATGCAGCACAGGCTTTTTACCTCTAGCAGAAAACATGGGATCTGAAGCTTTGCTCCAAAGGGAAACTTTGGAGGAAGCTGGTTTTACTCATTTGATAATGCCTTTTCTGGAACTTGTAACTCTACAGCAGCTCGTCTTTCAAGTTTTTTAACCCGCAAAGGGGGACTGGGAACAGAAATGTCTGCAGGAAGAAGCTAATCGCTTTCTGAGGAATAGGGAAGATGAGAGAAAGCCATCAAAGTTTGGGAAGTAATTGTAAAGCCAGGCCTATCTGGGGCAGCGTGTGTTCTGTTCTTGGGTGTTCAAAGATGAGGCACTCAAGTTAGTTTTTTTTACAGGAAAAGATACCAGTGGGCAAAACCATCTCTCTGAATTTCACAAGCAGTGTACAATATTTTCTTACGTGTTGAAAGGGTTCTGAACTTGGACAGGGGCTGCTTGCTTGAGACTCTTGTTCTGAAGCCATTGCAGTGGAGAGATGGTGCTGCTAGAGTTACTGTGGTGCCTGCTGCACTTCTATCATGTAAAGCCGAGACATGGGAGCTGCAGGGGATACAGGTTCTGAACTGTGCTTATTCTGAATATTAAACAACAAATGTGTTTTTAAATTTCCATGTACATGCTATTCAGAAGGAGATGACTTCAAGAATGTGGCATGCTGCTTGTGCTTATTTCTCTGAAGGGCTGCTAGTGGAGAACAGCGTGCTTGTCAGAATTTCAAATAGTTGGACTGTATTATGTGCTGTGTTTGAAGTGAATTGTGTCACATGTAGTATGACTAGCCAAGACAATGACCTGTTCAAAAGCAAACTTAGCAGTGGAGATAACCAACAGTCTCCTGTCACAGCTCCCAACCAACTCATTTTTTTAATTGCAGATTTTCTTTTTAAGATGTGGAACAGTAAGCAAATAAGTTTACAGTGTGTGCAGTGAAACTCGTTTCTCTCTTAAAGTGGTTTTGTTCTGTTTTTCCAGTAATGGCAGTCTGCCTGTATACTACAGTGAGGTTTTTTGGGACAGTCAGAATGAGATGGGAGCTCTTGGATTCGTTAGCTTTCCTCTTCAATGATATAGCGAGTTTGAAAAAATTCACCTGGGATTAGATTTTTTTGGCATGAATTATTCTTAATTGCACCATCTGTAATGTTGGCTAATTGCCTGGGGGCAGTTAAGCCATAGGAGGGGGCTGTGATACAGCAGCTCCTACGTTCCTCTGCTTCCCTCTTCTCTGTGCTGTTCGTACCAGATGCCCAGTAGAGAAGAAGATACGTGGCAGCACCCACAGGTACTCCTGGTTCCTCGCAGCTGCGTTGGTTGCAGTCATTTATTCCAGCCAGGTTTGCAGCTGTGCCTCGTGGCTGTTGTTGTGTATCTTGGCTGCAGCGGTGCGGCTGAGTGGCACTCATGTTGTCCATGTATAACTGCTCTCACAGGTGAAGGACATTTTCCAGAGCGTGTTGTGTTGTAACTGGTGCGGTGCATTAAGGCAGAAGCTGGTTAGCTGCTTCTGCTGCTTTTGGAAATAATAGTTACTGCAAAAAGCTCTGTTCAGCTGTGGGGTTGTTGCTCAAACGCCAGGTTGCCTGAGATAGCTCTGACAGGAAGGTAGTTTTGTGCTAACCGTGGAAACTGCAGTTCTTAAAGGTAATTCCTATAATGATTTATTTTACTAATGGCACATTACTTTCTTCCTTTTAGAATAAAGGTTCGCTTCAATTTGAAGACAAATGGGATTTCATGCGCCCTATCGTTCTGAAACTTCTTCGTCAGGAGTCCGTCACGAAACAGCAGTGGTTTGATCTGTTCTCGTAAGTACTTCAGCATTCTGCATCCTTCTCTGCAGGAGGGGTATCTGTGGTTCTGCTGATAGAGAAGTCAGACCGTGCCGATGGCATGGGAGCACACGGGACAGAAGTGCTAGCTTACACTTCATTAGGTGTGCCTACTTCAGAATAAATGTACAGAAGTACTGTTTTATTGAGATTCAGATCTTTGCAGATAAGGTGGAGGAAGAACAGCAGAAATTTGCCTTCGGCCAACAGTAGTAAATAAGCCTTCCACCTGCTCACAAAGGTTTTGTTAGAGAGTTTGCTGCTTGGGCAGTAGGTTCTCGAGGGCAGTTCGTTATTCTGATTTAAATGCTTTTCTTCTAAAGTAACTTAAAAATGCTACTGAAGTAAAAGGATAATGCAGATAAACTGGTATAATTTGAGTAATTGAGTAGCACATATAGCATTTTTCAGACATTGTTTGCATCGTTGTACTTTCTAAAAATCCAAGGGAAGCAGATTGCTCTCTCGAGGTAAAAACATCATTGCATTTTCCTCCTTCCAAAAATCCTGAATTTACTTCCTGTTGCTGATTTTTTTTTTTTTTTTAAATACATCATGTCACCTTTGTCAGCATAGTAAGGAAGTGAGTTATAACCTACATATCAAAAGTTTATTTAACATTGTCTTGGTCTCAACATGGAGTTGTTTTCCCTCAAATGCTTCAGTTGCTTAGTGCTGCACTTTCTTCTGCTTTTTAAAATCACTCACTAAATTTTGTTTAATTTGAAATGATTTGTCTTCCAGACTGCATCTTTATTGCTCTTTTCAGTAAGAACAGTGCAGTGATTCTTCTTAGAGCCATCTTACTGCACCTGTCATGCTTTTCTGCCAACCAAACAGAAAGGTAGTTTATCATGCAATGAGTTTTAATATCTCATGATGTCACAGCCATAGGAGTTGCCAGAAACATGGTGTAGTTAAGTTACAAATTCAGTCCTGAATCATTGCTTTCATTTTTTTTTAATAATTAGGTTAGTAATTCTACATGAGTATTGAAATTTTTCCTTTATTATTTTGCTGGTTTGCTGAATTTTTGGATCATACTTAAGTGCCTTTATGGCAAAAATAAGTATATTGAAGGAAAAAAGCCTGCTCTTCTAGGTTTCTAGTTTTGGACAATGATTTTGTTAAGCTTTTTAAGAAAAGTATGGAAGATGTGTCTTCTGCCTGACCTTTGCGTATGATCTTCCAGCACTGCTTTTTACTTTGGTTATGAACTGATGGCATTCTAAGTTCATTAACACTTTTTGTCTGTGAAATCTATGTAAGTCCCACAGGTTCGCTAGACCTTTGTAAGTTCTTGGCCAGCACTCTTGTTCTGTGTAAAAGGAGCTTTTTATCGTGCATTTTGTGTTTTCAGTTTCAGACGTTTTGTCTTTTCAGTTAAACCGATAAAGTTGCTTTTGTATTGGAATAGCTGTGTTGAATTAATAGGAACAAAGCCATCCTGTAGATTATGTAGTTTCTTACCTGCAAAGGCTTGACCTTGTTACTGAAAGGAGGAAGAAATTACAGAGGGAGGTAATGAGTTTAAAAAAATCTTGGTAGGCCACATTATATATGATGCTATAGTTGAGGAGTGTAACTTGCCTTTTTTAGTCTTTAATGTAAAAAGGAAATAGAAGTTAAGTTACGCTTGCTGAACTGTCAGCTAGGAAGAACAGGAATGTTTGAATGTTGATTGAAATTGATTAGCAGCATTTTGCTTTGTGATGCTCCTTGGGAGCTTTTCTGCAGTTGAGCTGCACTTTAACGTGCTTCCACTGTCATGAAATGTTTGTGATCTTATTAAACCAGTTAAATATTGAAATTACCTGATCTCAAATCTCTCAAAAGCAAGGTTGGTTTCCTTTGCAGTGGAAGGATGTTGTAGTGCGTGGATCGTGGAACTCTGAGTGGATGCTGCATCTTAGAGTGTGTAGAATGACTGCGGGCTGAGTAGCAGTGCTTCTGTTGGCACGTAATTTCCATCTTTGTCAAAGAAAAGCTTTAAAAAGTTGTCCTTAATGCAGTGGGATTATTGGATAGGTGTTGGAAGCAGAATGGACTTCTCCGTGTTCTTTAAATCTCCTTCAGCACAATCCTTTCCTAGTCAGGTTGCTGTTACTGCTTCCTGTGCTTTCTTAAAGCTTCAGTTTCTTCTCCAAACACATTTTCCTGTTTGTGTTGTGCAGTCTAACCACTTATTTTTTTTTTAAGTGATAAACAAAATGCATATTTTTTTTCTTCTTATATATGCTAAAATTATGACTGCTTCTGCCTCGTACATCAGAGAATTAGGGTTTGAGTGATGGTTACTAAAAGGTGAATAAATTGTTTTCTAGAGACGTGCATGCAGTTTGCCTGTGGGATGACAAAGGTCCGGCAAAAATCCATCAGGCCCTGAAGGAAGACATCCTTGATTTTATTAAGCAAGCACAAGCAGTAAGTTCTTAATATTTCATGACTTCTATTCGTATTATTAGAAAAAAATTACCCAATAGTTCTGACATTCTTTGGATCTAAATGCATTTCTTTTTTTCCTGAAATGCTATGATATTCCAGAGATTGTAATTACTATGTGAACTTCTCTTGAAAAACAGAAGACAGCCTTAAGCGCTTGCTGTGGCTCATTGTTTCATTGTAGGCAGTGTTGTTTTTTTTAAAGCACTATTTTTGTTTGTCCAGCAGTACTTATGGAATTTTCTTCCACTTGAACATTTCTTGAGGCAAAATTTACTATAAGAAATTACTGCCTGGAAAATACTTTTTGTCTGGCTTCAGTGGTGTGCTGATGTATTCATCAATGCCTTTAAAATACATCCAATGTATGGCACATTAAAAACATCTGTTCTGTTGTCTCAGCAAGATTTGCTGCCTAGTTTTATGGACTCCCCACAAATAATTGAAGTCATCAGTAGATTCAAGGGAAGCTTCTGTTTTTAAAATGTGTAGCAAAAGATGCAGCAAGATTTTTTTTCTTAATTTTATAATTACTACTTTAATAAATTGCATTATAAAGGTCTGGGAAGAAGAAAAATGTCTTTAAAATCTTTCTTTAGTGAAGAGATTTGCACCGCTACAGCTTTGTTCAAAGGAAAGCAATTTCTTACGCTTGAAGCCTTATGTACATATTGATTTCTTTTATTTCAGTCCCTTCAGCTTGCTAGCACACATGCGTAAATGCTGTGCTGAGCTGGGCCTTCAGTATGGTCTGTGTGAGCTGTTGTTTTAGAGGCATTGCTTTAGGCCTTATGATAGGCATTGTACTGTGCTCCCAGGCATTACTAAAATATACATGTTAACTAGCTGTCTGGGCCTAATGAGAGCCTTGTAAATGCATTAAATTAAACTTTACTGCTCTGCATAATATAACACAATTCTTACAGGTTGGTGCCCTTCTGTAGGTGTAGTTGTGCTAATACAGGCCAATAGGGCCAAAGGTTTTAAGTTTTTTGGCTCGCAAATGGCTTAACAGAAAGTGATTGGGTTGGGAACGTACTGACAGCTCCACTGCTGTCACCTTTTACTGTTCAGAGAAGGTCCATGTGCCACGGGTTGATAACCGCCGCTCTGAACTAATTGGCACTTACGTACGTAGACATCCTGCTGTAACTTTTATTTTGTATTTTCAGTATAAGCAAAGTCAATGTACCTTTGTTTGTCTGTTTATAAATTACCTCCTCTTCTTTCCCTGCCTCCAGAGAGTGCTGAGTCATCAAGATGATACAGCTTTGCTAAAAGCATACATAGTGGAGTGGCGCAAGTTCTTCACACAGTGTGATATTTTGCCCAAGCCATTTTGTCAGTTAGAGATCACTTTAATGGGCAAACAGGGCAGCAACAAGAAATCTAATGTAGAAGACAGTATTGTCCGAAAGGTAAGTGATAGGTGTTCAAGAGTTCTGCTGCACGCTCTGTTCTGCCTTGGATAAGGCTAGGAAAGGTGCTCTGTACTGAAGATGAAATTGCACCAAGGGTGTTACGCGATGTATCGCTTTGCTTCGAGTGTGAGGGTCAAAGCAAGTGTGAAACTTCGATTTTCACCTCTGTGGCAACTTAACTCTTGTTTTGCTTTGGCTTTGTTCAAGTGATTAAAACAGCTTATTAGGGTTATTAAAGTTTTTGTTTGATAGATTTATTAATTTTTTAATGTAATAAATTGTTTGTTTGTTTTTTTAATTTAAATCCCAGTGGAGGGGAAATTGCAAACTCACCCCTACTCTTTATATACTTGCATATGTTATATAGTATGCTCACCTCCATTTACACAAGTGCGTAGTTTCTACCCCTAGTTTATTTCCCTAGGGCAGGATCTTAACTGGGGTACATCTCTGTCTTTTGTAGATGAACACTGTCATCTCAAGTTAAATGCAGCTGTTGATCTCAAAGTCTCCTGTATTTCCTACAGGCTGTCAGTCACATCAGTAAAAGTTTTGTACAGGCAAAATCTTATTTCATACACCGTTTCATGTTGAGGAGGTCAGGGAATGTGGCGATCAGTCGAGGCGTATTGGCTTGAAACTAAAAGAGGGGAGATTTAGATTTCATATTGGGAAGCACAGGCTGCCTGGAGAGCAGTAGATGCCCCATCCCTGGAGGTGGTGGAGGCCAGGTGGATGGCACTCTTAGCAGCCTGGTCTGGTGGAGGGTGTCCTTGCCCACAGGAGGAACTAGGTTGTCTTTTTTGTCGGTTCCAACACAAACCATTCTCTGGCTCCAAATCAGAATGGTAAGGAATGTGTAGGGGTTTTGAGTGCAGAGCTCTTAGTGTTCTGAGTCCCATAAATAAATGTCCTTGAAGTTGCTTTTATCTTTTACTACCAGAAAAAACAAAGCGTATCAGTTGTAGAGGGGTAAGTTCTTCAGTTTAAGGTGAATTGTTATCTTTTTCCATCGCAGAAAGTATAGATAGCGAAATGCAGTTTCGTTAACAGTCTTTTGGTATTGAAGATCATTTTAACTTTCCTGATATGGACAGGAAGAATAAATGAGCTCAAATGGGCTACCTGGGTTGACTTTTTTTTCCCAACCACTTGTTGTGACATGTAATCCGCTTTAGAAGGAAAAGAAGCAGGAACAGCAACAGAGAGAAATCACCACCTCAAGTTACCTTGTTTTTTTTCAGTGTTTGTTAGAAAAACCATGTGATCTCAGTAGGCTCTCCAAGATGTGGCAGACTTGAACTCTGCTGTATGGCAGGAGACTAAGAAATGAAAGGAAAGGTGAGGTGGGGCAGGGCAAATAATAAAATACTGGTGGCTACCAGTTCAGATACTGTTCAGGACTGAAACTGATGTCTGTCTCTCGCATGCAGTTCAGTTAAGTCCATGTCATGATTGAGTCATCAAAACCCAGTCTCCAAACTATCTTATTTCATACTTACTGCTGAAAGCAATTACCTGGCATCATTTCCCATAAGTTTCTACAAAGCACCTTTGAAAACTTTTCCCATTCTTGGAAAGTTCTTTATGTACTCACACAGAAGGATCTGCATATTTTGCTTCAAATATCTCCATCAAATTATTTTCTATCCACAATGTCTAAAAACAGCTTGACCATGACAAAGCTGTGCCTTTGACGTCGGTTGACATTCTCCCTGTTTTCTTCTCTGTTACTCATTTCAGCTCTTGTAAACCCATTCTGTGATCATACAGTGCAATTATAACATGCGTATTAATGAGGTTAAGATAGTGAAAAAGTAATTGAGGAAGCAGAATCAAATACAGCTTTGTTTTTAAAGCATTGCAATGTTTTAAGCGATACAGATTGAAATGCAAGTTTAGCTGAAATTGAGAAAATAGAGAATTTAGAATAAAGAAAGGCTACCTTAACTCTCTGAAAAGGATACCTGCCTTGCTGTGTTAAAATCTAAAAGGTACAAAGCAGGAATGGAGGCCCATGTAATCTTACCATTCACTGTGCCTTATAGCAGTATCAAGTCTTCCTAATCTCATTTTCTGTAAGCTTGTTCACAACTGTGAGGCAAAGTTTAAATCTGTATGTTTCACAATTCAAACCTCCTTTCCACTGTCAGTGCAGACTGATCATTGGTGTGCTTAAAGAGCATTCAGAGTAGTTATTGCCATGTTTGAAGATACATGATGAATATACTTTGCTTGCATGTTGAACTTTCATGTTGGAGAAATGCAATCCAAAAACATCTTTTCTTTTTTTTTCCTTTATGTAAGTGCCATGTTGAGTTGTAGTTGTTGTGGAGACTGAGCCTGCCAAATGCTCAACTGTGTTTGACTCAAAGGTACCCTAGGATTGCAACTCCTGACACATCCCAGTGCTGGGAACGTTACTTGGCTGATTGTTCAAAACTGTAAAATACAGAAATAACACTATAGAAGTTATACAGGAAAAATACAGAATGATACAATATCTGAATCAAATGATTGCTGCATCCCCTCGCTGTCCAGTTTATAAAGTAAGCTTAGCATATAAGCTGAATATTACCTCTGTGACATGGAAGAGCAAGTTGTTATATAGCCTGAAAACTGCATTCTCATTTGCTTTATTTCTGTTTGATATCTTGTGTTTCTTTGTACAAACTCAGATTTGCATGCACCTTTCTGACAGGATTTTTTTTTCTTCCTAACATGCAGCTCATGCTGGATACATGGAATGAATCCATATTTTCAAATATAAAAAATAGACTTCAGGACAGTGCAATGAAGCTAGTTCATGCTGAAAGACTAGGAGAAGCTTTTGACTCTCAGCTTGTTATTGGAGTTCGAGAATCATATGGTATGTCTTGCACGTGATCTCTTTTGCCTCCTTACTAAAGTAAATGAATTTTTCATTGTGGAAGTTGGCAGATGTGCTGGTAGGGTTGGAATGATTATCCCAGCATTTTGTTTGGATTTTGTCATTATTGATATGAGATACCAATTAAATTATGTTCAAGGTATCTTTAACTTCTAAGTGATTTTGCTATGTATCATTTTCTGTAAAAATCAGTATCTTTAAAGTGCAAACTGCTTGATGTTTCAAGGTTGCAGAAATAACCTTACGCCAGTGCAGCTTTCCATACTGCTTGTGATTCTTCAGGCAGTTTGAAGAAGCACTAAGCTGGCTGCATCTAAGACTGCCACTCGTCCTCCTTTGCAAAACAAAACCTCTGTCCATTTCTGCATTACCTGAATCACAGAATCACAGAATCACAGAATCACCCGGGTTGGAAGGGACCTCAAGGATCATGTAGTTCCAACCCCCCTGCCTAGCAGGGCCACCAAACACACACATTCAGATCAGGTTGCCCAGGACCCCGTCCAGCTTGGCCTTGAACACGTCCAAGGACGGGGCATCCACAACCTCCCTGGGCAGCCCGTTCCAGGGCCTAACCACTCTCCTTGTAAAGAAAAAACCTGCCTTTTCTTCAAAGCCCTGCAGCCTGTTTTTCTGGTTGTCTGCAGTTAATTTAAGTCTTTTGGAGCAAAGATTGGACGATTGGTTACCTTGAATTCAGAGCACCTTTGCAGGATACATCAAATTGTTCACTGCAACCTTTAGATATAAAGCTTACTTCACTGAGAGAGATTTGCTTATTGTTAGCCACACGAATTTCCAGGAATTAAGTTTAGACTTTCTCTTTGCAGTTAACCTTTGTTCTAATCCTGAAGATAAACTTCAGATTTATCGAGATAACTTTGAAAAGGCATATTTGGATTCAACGGAGAGGTTTTATAGAACACAAGCTCCCTCTTATTTACAACAAAATGGTGTACAGAATTATATGAAATATGTAAGTAAAAATTCTGCTGTAATTTTGTTCTGGAAATGCTGGTACTTAAAATGATGGCTGTTCTACTTCTGCACAGGCAGATGCTAAACTAAAGGAAGAAGAGAAAAGAGCACTACGATATTTAGAAACAAGACGTGAATGTAACTCTGTGGAAGCAGTAAGTACATTGTGTAGAAACATTGCCATATCCTATGTTTTATATACTATTATTAGCCATGAGTTGTCATTTCTGTGTGTTACAGTGCAGTAAGTTGTTACGAAAATGTTTTCTTTTGTAAGAATTATCCACTGTATTCTTTTCTTGTGAAAATCTGTATTTATAATCTGGCAGTTTACAATTTCTACAGATATTTTAATTGTAAATGTAGATTTATAGTTCAAATTAAAGAGCCGTTTTTTTGTCCAAATGTCTTTTTGCTCTTTCATTTTGAGTCAGGATTTCTTCTATGCTTAACAGTGGATGAGGATGAAAATAAGTATGCAGTCTAGTGAGCGAAGGGCGTCTCAAGGCTCATTTAGAGTACCTGAAAATGTTACTGCTCACTGCAATCAGAAGGAGCAATGAAAATTTCATTAAAACTGTTCTAGATTTCCTCTTAGGCTGAAATATGGCCATTTAGTACGTTCTGCTCATGACCCTTTCCCCCCAGTTGAGCAATATTTCACACAGTTCAGACTCTGGAGGAAGATTTAACTGCAGTGAGTAGTTCATAATTGCCTATGTTGGAATCAGTTCAGGAAACAGGTTATTTTAAATAAATACCCTTTAACTCTGAATTTACTGCAGTTGATGAAAATTTATTTTATGTCTTGTGTTAAGCTATAAATCATTCATTTTACATAGCTATAACTTGTATAAAGAGGCTGACAAAAGAGAAATGGTCTGGACATGTACAAGCAGTTTCTGTGCTAGATCTAGCTGTAGTGCCTTGTTCAAGCCACCCAGCCTGGTCCAAATAGGGTGTGCTGGAATGAGAACTATTCTTAGCTCTTGGATGTATACTTGGAAACTAAGTAGGGTAGTTGGTGTTCCAGAAGCGATGGCTCCCTTGAGGGGAAAAAGGCAGTAGAAATATCAAGCTGATTGCTAGCTTGGAAGTGTTCTTATCACGTTTGCTATCTTACACATTTTAAAGAAATACAGTTTCATGTATAGACTTTCCTGAAAGTACACCTACTTCTGAGAATTAATGAATTGCTTTATATTATTAATAATTTTATACAGCATACGTGTTGAGAACAGCCTGGATTTTGTGTCACAGGAAACTTGAGGCTGATAAGACTTTCAAGGCTAGATGAGCTAATTCTGTGTTTGCTACGTTTCAGCTGATGGAGTGCTGCGTCAATGCCCTGGTGACATCTTTTAAAGAGACCATTTTAGCTGAATGCCAAGGCATGATCAAACGAAATGAAACAGAAAGTAAGTGAAGCCTCAGAGCAGTGCGGGATGAACTCAGCGCTGACTGCATAAAAATAGATCTGCTGGTAGATCGAATTACTGTTTTTAATAGATAGTGGCAGTGTCTCACGGATAGAATGTTACTCCGTGTGGGGAACTTGTCCCACAAAAATGATTGTTGGTGGTGTTTTTTAGTCACACTTATGAAATCTGTAGATACAGTACCCTAACTTGAATGACGGAACAGCTCTAATCTTACTTGAATTAAATGAATACTTTGTTACTCTTTTTATTTAATATTTATTTATATTTTCCTTGTTTTTCCTACCGCTTATTTTCTTCATGTCGACTAATTTTGCATGTGTGTCATTTCTTGATTTGAGTAGTTCAGATGCGCAGTATCATGTTGTCTCATCTCTCCCCCCCCACCTCCAAAAAAAGTGAAGCATCTCTTTTCAAAGCTTTTTTTCTGCGAAGCAGGGATATTTTTCTTGTTCTGGTTATTGTTGCAGGATCAATAGGTCAGTGAACCAAATCTCTGCAATTGTTTGTGACTGAATACTGCATGTTAGCTCTGTGCCTTTTTGAAGTTTTAAAAAGGCATTCTAGCTTTGCTGCCAGAAATTGGGAGGTTAGTGTTCAAAAGTTTTGAGCTAGTCCTGTATGAGAAAATGAACTAGACAAATCCTCAGAAAGTCATAAATCAAGCCAAAATCACATGGTAATTACTTTTTTGAAGGTTCAATGTCCTGCAGACAGTATTTTTAGTATCTATATAATGCAAAGGTGAAAACACTTTTTTTATCACTTAAAATAGTGTAGGAAATATTTCTAAAGGTAGCATTTCAGAGAATACTTGTCCTCCCAAGCTATGTCGTGCCAATCTGCTTGTGTAGCAGTGTGATTTCTGGCAGTAATCCAAAGCTAAATCTAGAAAGCCACCAGCTTCATGTGAGTATAGGTTACAGCCTTTGGGAGATGCAGGTGGTTTATCTAATTGAAGAGCTCCAGATGATTTCATCTACAGTATCCAAAGCATTTTTCTTTAGAAACTTGTTGAATTTTTCCCACAGTCCTTTTTGGTTTTGGCTATCTCTGCCCAGTATTGCTGCCTGGTTACAAAGTACTTCTGTTTATGTTTGCTGTATAAGAGCTCAAGCATCTCTCCTTTTTTTTTCCTTTTTTTTCCTAGACCTAAGTTATGCTGTTTAAAATGCCTTAGTGAAGCATGCAAGTGCAGATGATTAAACATTTAAAGACTAGAACTATACATAGTAACATATACATAAATCTGATAGTGTCCTTTGCTATATTCTTCACTTGTGCATATGCCTTTCTGATGTTAATTGCCACAAAAAACGTCTTAATTTTTATCTTTAATGAACAACATCAGTCACAGAGGAGCTGGGTTTGTGGCTGTGAGCTGGGCGTTGATGTAAAATGCTCTGTTAAGTACTGGATATTTACATACTCTGCAAAGGAAGCAACACATGATGTTTTCTGCCTAAAATATATCCAAGATGTCATGACTTGCAAATGCTTCAGAATCATTTTAGTGTCTTTTTGTTTGCTTATAGGATTAAGGATGGGAGGCCTAAATTCTGTGGAAGTTGTTTGCTTGCCTCCAACAACGACAGTGTGTTCTTTTACCTTTTGTTTTCATAATGCATGCATTCAGAGAGGAATGCTTCATTAAAATATTCCTTTTTCTTCTAGATTTGAAATCTGTCTTTGAAGACTCTGCAGTCTTCTTTCTCAGACATTCTTTTACAAGAGACCACTGCCTTTTATTTTTTTTTGCCGTCAGCTTATTCATACCATCGCTGTCTTAGAGAAGCAGAAAGTGGTGCCCTTGATATATCTTTTCCTTCCCACCCTTTTCTTCTCTCGTGTCTCTTCCCTGCTCCCACCTTGTTTTAAACTACAGATGAAAAGATCAAATAAAAGTTGAGTGAGCTTTTTGGACTTGCCCTGAGTAGTGCAGTGTTGCCACCACCTACAGCACATCTGAATTGCACTAGCAACTTTGTCTTAGTTTTTTCCTGATTTCTGAAATCCTGTTGGTTAGCCCATTCCAAGTTGTCTCTAGTTGCAGTGCAAGCTTTTCTTGAAGGTTGTTGGTGATTTTCATTCCTTCATTTGTGCTGTGAGAGGTTTTTGGCTTTCCTGTGTGGTTCTGCAGCAGTTGTTGGGATATAAAAGTAACATTTCATCTTCTGTGGTGATAGGATCCTGCAGATGTTGCTGACTGAAGTATTGCAAAGGAGAAAACATAAGCAGAACATCTTATTTCTGGCTCCCTTTACTGTAGATGCGACATCAAGAAACTAAGCAAATCTGTCATCTTTTTTCCATCCAAAAAAGATTCGGAATCCACCACCAGTTTGTTCTCCTTCATTAAGCAGAGAACTTGGCTATGTTTAGTCTAACTCTCTGTGGACTCTACAATTATTTTAACCCAGGTGTTTTGCTGTGAACAGCTTTCTGGGGGTGATTATTGCTGGCTCAGTAAATATTAATCTTCTTGTAATGTTGAAATAACTTCACAAAAAGAAGATAAACTGTACGAGTTTTTCAAGTTTTCAAGCTGGTAACTTTCAGAAGAACCCTCTGGGGAAAAGGAAAGGAGAAAGTGCTGTTTATCCTGGTCAGTTAAACTCCCTGAGACTTTGGTACACGTAGATGAAACATTGTAGATCATACTTGAAGACACACAAAGTGAGCTCTATTTGGATTTAATTTAGGAAGAGAAGTCTTGAACCCATATGATTTCATGCACAAAGTCTTGTAGGCTTCCAGCTGAAAGAGGAGCATTTTTGCCAGGCATTAAGGCATTTATGCTGAACCTGGATTTAATTGAAATTGCTGCTGACTTTGTTGTATTTTTTTAAATTCAATTTTATATTAGGTGCATAAGTAAGTGTTACCTTACAACAGATATTTCATTTCAACTTAGAGGAACATCCTTGTGGGGTCAGGCCTATTAGTCTTCAAAGCATTTTTACTTCTTAATAGATTAACTGAATTATCTGTTCTTACACAGTCAGTTTCCTACTTGAGATACCCTTAAGTAAAAGTGCAGCAATTCTGTGTTTTGTTCTGGTTACTTTTTAAGAAAGGTTTTTGACCAGTGACTTTATCAGTATTTGTATCTTTCAGAATTGCATTTAATGTTTTCACTGATGGATAAAGTTCCAAACGGGATAGAGCCCATGCTGAAAGACTTGGAGGAACATATTGTTAGTGCTGGACTTGCGGATATGGTAGCAGCTGCTGAAACTATTACTACTGTAAGTGACTTGCTTTTAAAAAACAAAGCTGGCAGTTAAATGCTGTAACTGTAGGTCACACATGAGTGGAAATGGTTTTTGAAGATTCTTGGTCTTTCTAAGCATAGAACTTTGCAGTATCCTTAGAAATATTTTTTATTTTTAACTCCTTACATTTTCAATTGTTTCTTCGAGTGGTAAGTGCACAGGTTACTTAATTATGTGCTAGGATTAAAAAGGCATAATTAGTTTTCTCAAAGTTCTAACTTCCTGATGAAATTTGAGATATACTTTCAACTACCAATCCAGATATGGCTCTAAGTGTGGAAATTTTATAGGGTTTGCTTTCTACCAGTCTTTTCCAGCTTTTTATAATCTTTTTCTCAGGGTCTGGGAAGCCTGGGTATTTTCAGCAATTGGGATGTTCATTTTCTTGATCTCTGAAAGCATTTTTTTTCATTTGGAAGGTATTATACAGTATTTAAAACTTGTATTTTTTCTCTCTGTGTTTATTGTTGTATATAGGAAACATGATCCTGAAAGTCTGTGTTGAGGTTTACAATGCTGTAAAACTCTTGAGTACAGGGAATAAAAATAAAATTCTCCTTTGTAGTCCTGGAGCCCTAGGGAGACTATGGGATTATAGATGAGAGAATTAAGCTCATGCTAACTTCTGTGAAATCTGCTTTTTAATTTGATTGTTGCCTGTTTTAACTTCAGGATTCTGAGAAGTATGTAGAGCAATTGCTTACACTGTTTAATCGATTTAGTAAATTGGTTAAAGAAGCTTTTCAAGATGATCCAAGATTTCTTACTGCAAGAGATAAGGTATGTGCTTCTACTCACCACTTGTTTTCAGCTTTTTAAGGATTGTTAAAAACAATATTGTGATGCCTTGTGAGCACACGCTGCTAAATCTAGAAATTGCTCTACTCCGGTAAGTGTGTGAACTAAAAGTTGGTGTAACTAACAACTGATTTGTTCTGAATTGGTTGTGTAATAATGCATCAAGTTTCATTTGTGTGTAGCTTTGAAAAATTGTTGATTGGAAGATTCTCTGTTTTTGAGCACCTTTTAAATTTTAATATTGATTCAGTGATATATTTATGTTTAGAATTTATTGTGTTTGGGTGTAGTCATACAGTTTCAGATATGGAACCCGTTCCACGCAATTCCGTCCCTTTTTTAAGTTGTTGCTTAAGGTGGTGTGTTAAGGAAAAAAAAGAGAACGTAAAACATCAGTTAATGGAAAACTGAGTCACAGGGTTTGATCTCTCATATTGAAAATCAAATCTGCAATCTTTGAACCAATAGAACTAAATTAATTTCTTCCTGTGATAACCTAAAAAGGCAGGATAAAACTTCTGTGAATCACATATTGAGAAGAGAAATTGAAGCTCTGACTATCTGTGTTTATTTATTTTAGGCATATAAAGCAGTTGTGAATGATGCTACAATATTTAAACTTGAATTGCCATTGAAGCAAAAGGGGTAAGCCATATGAACTTTAATGTGAGTCAGGGTAATTAAATTGTTCAAGACAGAGCTTCTGTTTTTAAATGTCTTCAAGAGGTAACACTGCATTTAAAAGTGCCTTCTCTTCTTATAAAATTTCAGATGGATTATCCAGCCCTGTTGAGATGTGTTTCGTGTGGGAGCAGATCAGCGAATAGCAGTTTATTTAAACAGCTTTGTTTGTAGTAATTGTGAATCTTTTGTTTTGTAGTAATGAATCTGTTTGTCAGTTGAATTTAGGAACACTTTCCTGGATTATTGCTTCCAAAAAACTGAGCTGTAGAACTGCCAAACTCCAGTAAAAGTACTGGGTAATGCTTTGAGTGTGACCTGTGCGGGTTTTCTTTCTTGGTTGCAGTGTAGAATTAACCAGGTTAGCTTAAACATCTTTCAGTAGAAGATTAAGATGACATGCACTTGAGAGGAAAATGATGCTGATGGGGGCAACTCTGCTAGTTCAGCCTGGAGGAAATAGAAGTCAGTCAGATGATTGTTAGTATTTAACTTATGGTGGTTGGGATTGCTTATGTGTCCTTTGTAGTCTGACTTACTACAGAACCAAAGCTTACAGAACCAAAGGCTGGCAGCTGCAACTAAACTGGTTTGTCCAATCTTACTGAAGTTAGCTGAGGGGCACATATCTCCTGTTCCTATGCCTTTTGTGAAAATAGGAGCACGGGTAGATAGAAGAAGACTGAAAGAGACAGTTCCCACTTTGGAAAAGCCAGGCAACAGGAGACATGGATCCATATTGATCTCGTGTTGGCTAGAGCACGAATTACTGCATTCTTACAGTTTCTGGTGTTGAGATTATTTTTAAAAAAAATGCCAATATGAGTTTCAGAGGTGCTTTTTATTTATTTGCTAGAATTTCCTTATAAACTGAGCATTTGTCTGTTTTATGGAACATTTGCAGGGTGCACAAAATTATGTGCATTCTCTGGCGAGCCAGTCTGCACTTTCTAGGAGCCATGGATAAAATAAAATGTCTGCTATCTCACAAGACACCTGTACAAGTTGAAATGATTCTCTGCACTTTTATTAGTGTGGGTAAAGCCTGTATTTTTCCTATTTCCAGTTTATCATGTCTCATTCTTCCCGATAAATAGTCATCAATTTATCTTTTTCTTAGGGGAAAGGCATAATGAAACTACACTTCTCAGAGTTTATTATTTAGCACCTGTGAGTTGGGAGTAGCATAGGTATTGAAGTCTGTTCAGTATTTTTGTACAGAGAGTCAGAGAATGGTTGAGGTCAGCAGGGAGCTCTGGATCCTTCTGGCCCAAGCTCTGCTGAAGCAGGGCTGCTCAGGGCTGTGTCTAGATGACATGTGCTTCTTAACACTGTTTGCTTTTGGACTGATAGTAATGTGGGACGGAGATTAGCCTTGGTGGTTTTATTACTGGAAGAGCACCCTCACAACGGACTGGATCCCTGCTTTGCATACTTTGTAAAGATGTAGGCAAGATGGACTTTTTTCTATGTCTGTGTTTAGATTTCCCATGGGAGTATGCAAATCAGTGCCTGTATTTGACTCCTAAAAGCTAAATATACCTAGTGATCTCTTAGTGACCACTGTGATGGCAGTGGTCTTCTGTTCAGCATTCTTCTTCCTAAGCTCTTTCAAGTTCCCTATGTATACAGTCTCTTTTAGCATTTATCTACTGTAGATAGCAAGCAAGGGTGAGGGAATGAGCAAGAGCACTGGATTCCTGAACATCCCCAAGGCTTCTTAACTGCAGTCTTGCTCACTGCCTTTATTTTTCCAAGGGAATCCATTACAGAGAACGTTGGGCAACGATTTGAGACTAGAAATCAAGTTGGTGCCACCTGACACTAGGAATAATTTTATTCAACAGTAGGTTACAGGTTCAGAATGCAACCTTGTGATTGCAGGCCTTTTGAAGAACCTCAGTCTGTATACTGTAGTATCTCCTTGTTAACCCTCAAACTATTTAATCTGCCAGCTGTTAGCCTCCTGTTTCTGCCTCTTATGAAATAATTTCATTGTGTTGCTACATGATACGTGTGTCAGCTTTTGCCTCCTGGGCACTGCAGGAAGTTGTTCTTGAGAGTTGTCAAGAGGCCATACTGATGAGTGAAATATCTGCTAAGTTTTTGCTGGAATCCTCACTATCATTTACTTGATTAAAACTACAGTTTGAATATAATTGTACTTAGAAAGTTCTAAAATGAAAAGCAGTTGGAATGATCAAGCTGTAAAAGCTGTCTGAAAATGCTTAATAGTATTTATTCTTCCAAGAGGAAAAGGGAGTTGTCCCTAGTTTTTCATTAGTGTTGAATTCCCTTGTTCCACTATGGCCCTGCCAAGGGGAGTGCTTGGTCTGTCTTGTTCACAGTGTGACTGCTGCAGAATAACAGGATTCTCTTCAGTTTGAAGATATGTTGTTCTTTCTTTATTTAGTGTTGGATTGAAAACACAGCCTGAATCCAAATGCCCTGAGCTTCTTGCTAATTACTGTGACATGTTGCTAAGAAAAACACCACTAAGCAAAAAATTAACCTCTGAAGAAATTGAAGCAAAGCTTAAAGAAGTGGTATGTTCTTGCTTTCTTCTACTTGATTAGTCTGAAGAATGAATTTGGTTGGTGTATTTCCTCATGTGGGTCAAGGCCTTGATCTTGGAAAATAGTTATGTGAAGTGCAGCAGTAGGGAACGAGTTTTATGTCACTATGCATGTGTGTTTGTATCTTACTGCCCGTGCGGAGTTTCATACCTCTTTGTTGTCTTCACCAAATTAATATGCTGAAGTATTGCTCATTTAAGCTCTGGTGTGTTACGGTAGTGAAGGTTGGTGTAGAAAACAGCACAGGGTGCTTCATATTAATGTCTTCTGTGATCTAAGAGAAGTTCCTGGTGGCTGACAAAGGAACAATGTGAAGGTGCAACGTTATAAAAGCTTGATAGCTGGTGGCTGTGATAGCACAGGGTGGGTCCTCTTCAGTCACCCAAAAGTAGCCTTTTCTACTTCGTAGTCTACGGGGGCATTAGATGGGCATTTAAAGATTTGCCTAATGGTGCAAATAAATATACTAAAATCTTTTTTGACAGCTTTTGGTACTTAAATACGTACAGAATAAAGATGTTTTCATGCGGTATCACAAAGCTCACTTAACAAGACGCCTGATATTGGATATATCAGCTGATAGTGAAATTGAGGAGAACATGGTGGAGTGGCTCCGGGTGAGTAGCCTGTTGTCCTTCTGTGCTCGGCTGTTCCTGCTGTGTGTGCTAGTAATTCTCATTCTTAAATGCTTTAATTCCTACTCCTTGCTTCAGCAAGTTCTGTTTTAAATAGCAGGCTGTGCAGGTCATCTTACACTTCCATTTTATTATGAAACTTTGTGAAAGTAAAACAGCTGAGCTTTTATTAAGAGGAATGTTGATCCTAAGAATGATAATTATAGTTTTTAAAATATTTTGTGTATCTGTAAACCATATTTTCCCCGTGCAAATGAGCAAAATGCAGTGTACTTGTTGTTTAAGCATGTAAATAATTTCACAATTAGACGGTTGGTCTAATTGTGAAATTTTATGTAAATTAGAATATTACTTGAATGCCTTCATTCGTTTATTCCTTAATGCATGCATACATTCTTAAGCACATGGATTTCTTTAAAAGAATCATCATATACTCTTAAGGGAAACTACTTGTGATACATGCAAAAGAACTCCTTTGTATCACATAAAATTTGTTACAGTGAAGTGATGCTGTCCGTGTACCTCACCGCTCTGTTCTCTTTTTTGAGTTTATTACTGTTCTTAGTTGCCTCTGTCATAGTTCAGTGTTCTGTTTGTTTACACAGGAAGTAGGTATGCCAGCAGACTATGTAAACAAGTTGGCTAGAATGTTCCAGGATATCAAAGTATCTGAAGACTTGAACCAGGCCTTCAAAGAAATGCACAAAAATAATAAACTTGCTTTACCAGGTATTGTTTTCATATGATTTAGTGGTTTTAATTTCTTGTGCAGCTAAAAAATCCTGTTGAGCCTTGAGTTAAAATTATATCAACTGCAGGTTGAACGGTCTTCAGAGTGCTGCTACCCCTAGATTGGAACGTCTGTACTTTGCTTTTCTTACAGTTGACTCTTGAGCTATATCGTTCTGGAAGTTATTGGGTGTATCTTCTAGATATGGGCTCCCTAACTGTAGCTAAATTCCAGGTAGGGCTCGAATCCACCTCCAAGCAGGGGAATGCTTTAACTGTCCCCTTCTTTGTGCCCCTGTCATTCTTCATGAGTGCTTTATACTGCGCTCTTCCCTTACCTGCCAGTAGGAGAGACTGATGCACACTGCTAAGAGTTCAAATTGCATTTCTGAGATTAAATTTCACCGATGAGAAAGACAGAACATCCAACCTTGGGCCTGCTGCTGCTGAAACCCCTTGAGAGGTGCTTACCAACATCAGCTGTAGAGCTGCATCACTGCTTAAGGAGCTCTGCAGAGGGAAGACAAAAAAGCTAAGGTTTCAATCAGTATTGCTGACAGAAAACCAGTGGTCCATAAATGGAGTGTGTTAATGGGTGGGCACCTTGCTGTTTCTGGAAATTCAGTCCCTCCCAGTTGTATTTAGAACAGGAGAAGAATGCATTCTGTTTGTCTGCCTGTTACACCTGCAGTTTCGTATAATCCAGTATTGTCTTGCAGCTGACTCTGTGAATATTAAAATTTTGAATGCTGGTGCCTGGTCCCGTAGTTCTGAAAAAGTATTTGTCTCACTGCCCACGGAATTAGAAGATCTCATCCCAGAAGTTGAAGAATTTTATAAAAAGAATCACAGTGGTAGAAAACTGCACTGGCACCACCTCATGTCCAATGGAATTGTAAGTGTATACTTCTTGGTGCTTCAGTCTGAATGGCAGTACTTTGTGTGTTTATGGTAGCAAGAAAGCTTGTTATCCAGAAAGCCTTTCAAGGAAAATTGTCATTCTGTTCACAGATAACATTTAAGAATGAGGTTGGCCAGTATGACTTGGAGGTAACAACATTTCAGCTAGCTGTGCTGTTTGCATGGAACCAAAGACCCAGAGAGAAGATCAGCTTTGAAAATCTTAAACTGGCAACTGAACTCCCTGATGCAGAACTTAGGAGGACTTTATGGGTATTTTACTTTCTTTTGAAACAGATTTCTTCCTGAGTTTTTGTACTCTGAAGTACGGAATTAATATTTTTAAAGTGCTGTCAGATAATACTTCAAAGTGTGAACGCCTTTTTTCTTAATTAATCAATTGTGAAGCTGGCTTCTTGTACTACTGTTAAGCACACACAGCCTTTACATTAATGTTCTCTATGCTTGGAATTACGTAACGTAAGCTTTTGAAGACAGCAAGATCTTTCTGGCCTTATACAGCATAAAGCACACAGTTGGGATTGTGGTTTGTGGAGTGGGACTGGTCTAATTCTAGGAACTCTTGATAAATGTATGTTGCTTAAAAATAATGCATTTGCTCTATCAGTCTTTTAATAATTTAGCTCCCAAAAGAAAAGAGAAATAATGTACATCAGGCAGCACCACACGCTACTTCTGTAGCCGTGAGTTTGTGCGTTTTTTCTTTTTATTATTTTACTTATGGTAACTCATTTCAGAAAGAGATTTGGTAAGCTATGTTTCATCCTTGATTTCACTGGTGACTTTGTGTTGCCCGCTGGCACCTTTGAACAAGGCTGTGTGGTTCCTCCACAACAGTCTGCACAGCAGTGAGCGATGTTCTAAAGAGTACTTGTTTCCATTTAGAAAGTCTTGTGTTTTATTTTCATTCTTTTTTTCCCCCCTTTTTCTCTGTAGTCTCTTGTAGCATTTCCAAAGCTGAAACGTCAGGTTTTATTGTATGAACCTCAAGTCAATTCACCCAAAGACTTTACAGAAGGAACCCTCTTCTCGGTGAACCAGGAGTTCAGTTTAATGTAAGATGATGCTTGAAAATGAAAATAACTATGTGCTTTTTTATAGTTAACCTTCGTCCTTGGAAGTTCTCAAGATTCAGCTAGACACAGGCTTATAGTAATTTCTGTCCTGGCTTATAGTCATTACAGTCCTATAATCATTTCACTTTTAGTGATAGTTGTGCTTCAGACAGGTGGTTGAAGCAGATGACCTCCAGCGGCCCCTTCAGACAAGTGTTTGTATAGTTCTGATTTCTGTGAAGTTAAATTTCTTAGATGCCTGGGGATGAGGTGCAGAATTGGAGGCTCTGCCATCTTCCCATTGCTAATGAGTCCATGAGGTTTTATGTAGGAAAATGCCAAGTGTGCTGCTGCTGGGGCTTAGTTTCTTGCTCAGGGACATGGTGGTTCATTTGTTCCTGTCGTCAGGATCACAAGCTTTGGGAAATGATGTGAACACATGACAGAAGAGACAGGCTGCACAGAAGTGTTGGGGGTGACCAGTGAAGAATGCCATCAGCTTTTTGCCATGTCTGCTATGATGTCTGTTTTTTCCCTCTATTTTTTTATGCTGTACAGACACTTCTTGTGATGAAAAATGAACTAGTCCCGTTTCCTGAACTTTGTTGTAAAAACTCCTTTGAAGAACCCTAGTTTTATGTAACTAAACTGAAATATGTTTCTCTAGACATCTATTCTTTAAAATAGTCCTGGTAACTTCTCAATTTTGAGAGCTATCAGTTTCAGCTGATGAATTTTGTTGTAACATTAGTACATTGGTGGTGGGGTTTTTTTGTGGAGGAATTGGCGTTGAATTTGGATCAGCCAGTATCCCAATCCTGCAATGCTTCTAGTCTTATAAATGTCTGATACACAATGGTTCTCCTTGCTGCTGTAATTTAACTTTAGTAGGAATTCCTTAGTTGAAAATGTATCTTTGCCTTATTTTTATACAATACAACTTTTTCAGAAAAAATGCTAAAGTTCAGAAAAGGGGCAAGATAAATTTGATTGGTCGATTGCAACTTACTACAGAGAGAATGCGAGAAGAGGAGAATGAAGGAATAGTCCAGCTAAGGATATTACGAACCCAGGTAAGTGTGTGTCAGAGGAATGTTACAGTTCTTTTTCTTTCTTTGTGTTATCACAGCCTCCTGTTGTTGATGAATGAAATGAGTGCTTTTTAATCCCACTCAGGCTTCTTCGGTATGGTTCTGATACTTTGTGAGGAGCTCATTCTGTGTGCATGTGTGCTTGTAGTCACAGCCAGATTAAACTCCAGGACAGCCAACCCGTAAAGTGTCTCACCTCTCTTAACACCCTGGCCATTCTTTTAGCCAAAGGGTTAATGCCTGCATGTGCTTACCAAATGAGAACACCTTGTAAGTGCTACTCTGACACTAAGCTTGTATTTCACAAGGTTTGTCTCAGATCACCCTGACTTCTGCTCAGAGGATGAGCAGGTGAAAAAACACCAGGTTTTAGTGACTAACTCACACTCTAGATGTCAAATTCTGCAGATTCACCATTGACTCAAGTTGTATTGCTTGTGCATCTTGCCAGTGTTCCATTCTGTCACTGTATCACCTTCTTTGTGAATATAGTTCAGTATCTGCTTAGGCTTAGGAATTGTGGCTTGCAGTTAATACCTGATTACTGACAAATTCAAAGCCATTTACTTCATGGTTTTATAACTTCCATCATGCTTTGAACATATCCTAAATTAGCCTTTTGTACACAGTTTCCTTTGGTTTGAGTCTATCAAGTTCTTGGCCACAACCTGGAAGACAACAAACTCCATGGTTTGACCTTGCAAGTAAAGAGTGTTCTTATTGTGTTGTTTGTTTTCTTTTTCAGCATTCTTGATTTACTTTGTTCTTTCTCGTAAGCATAAGGAATAGAAACTCCCAGTAGATCTTCGTACTGTTTTATTCTGAGGTTTAATCGTGATGGTGAACATGGGCAACTGGCTGTAATTCACAAAGGTGAATTCAGCATAGAAAAGTGTATTCAGAGTGTGTCTTTTCCAAGTGGGTTAAGGTTTGGCCCTCACTTCAGGAATACGTAAGCAAGAGCAGATGTTGGCCTTGCCTCATTTTAATTGAGGTGTCTTAAGTGCAGTACTTATAGTGGCAAAATAGTTCTTACATTTGATTATTGAGGAAGAATATGCATTTCTTTGCTGCCTTGCTGTACCGAGGGTCCCCTGTTAATGCTGTGTTTGCTTTGCCATTTCCACCAGACATTTCAAAATGTTTTTTCTCTCATTCCCCACCAGGAGGCTATCATCCAAATAATGAAAATGAGGAAGAAAATTACTAATGCCCAGCTTCAGACTGAACTGGTAGAAATATTGAAAAACATGTTCTTACCACAAAAGAAAATGATAAAAGAGCAAATTGAATGGCTTATAGAGCACAAATATATCAGAAGAGATGAGTCGGATATCAACACCTTCATATATATGGCATAACGTGAGGACTGAGATGCTGAGAACACAAATGGAAGGGTGCTTGGACAGACAGCTGCAACAGTTTGTGCTGCAAAGGACCTGTTTTGACTTTCATTACGTATTAAAATCCCTGCCTTACCTTAAAGAGGACTCTATTTTGCCAATCTCATTCAGCTAGCATGATGGCATTCCCTTCATGTTGCACACTTTTAACAGCATGCTGTTTTGTGGGAAACTTGCATTCATGAAGAGCCCATTGTGAACTTTTAAAAGTAGATTTGACTTACACCCACCAGGAAGAACAGGTTTGGGTTTTTAGATGACCAGTACTTGCACAAAGGAAAAATATTCAAATATTCATGCACTGAGGAACTGCTACTAGTTTTGTTTTGGTTTTTGTTGTTGGTTTTTTTTTTGTTTGTTTTTTTTTTTAATGCAATTAGGACTAGAAGTAGCACTTTCACTTTTGTGTTTTGGATCAACAGAGTCATGTACTGTCCACCTTTGATCCTTTTTGTAATAACATTTGAGAGACACATGCCTCACAAACTGATACATATTTGTTTTCATTAAAATCTGTTGGCTAGAGCAGTGCTTCAATCTAGTAACTGGATTTTAATATTTGACACATAAGTGACATAAAAATAATTCCAACTCATGGGTGATACTTTCCTTTAAGCAAGAGAGCATTGTTTTTAAATTGCTTTCTGTAAAGAAGTGGACATACATTATTTGTTACTTTATTTGGACAGATGATTTGGTACAATCCTCTTTGAGAAGGCAAAGCTTTCTTGAATGATATTCCACTATAAAAACAGTTTCCATAGATAGGTCTGTTATTCAAACAAAAATATTAAATGTATTTCCTTGTACATTTAATATTTGTATTCCAGGTATTTAAATATGACATACATGTAAGCGCATTAAAGAGAAATTGATACCCAAATTCTCAGAAGATAACGCTCAAAGATTCCTGTATTAATTCCTCACTGGTAGCTCTCTCTGTATGTATAGATGTAAGGTTAATCACATATTGGCTCTTCTGTTCCTTGAAAGTCAACGTCTTTGAAACTGTCAGAATGGGAAATGCAGTTCTAACAGAAATGGTAAAAAGCTTAGGAAAAATGCCCTGTGTGATGTATGTGGAGAGAGTGCCAAGGACACACCAGGAATTCCAATTTCTTAATGTTACCTCTTCTGTTGTCAATCATCTGAAGTAGTTGTTTGGCAATGCTTGCCTCTCTGCTGCTCTGAAATGCCCCTGCATGTCCTGGGCTGTCATAGGACTCACTGGAGCAGAGTGCCTGTCTTGGGATAAAAGGTAAGTTGAGCCTTACTCAGTTCTGTATGAATATTCGTATATAAATTGCAAGTGTGCATTTTTTTAATTTACCAGCCGAGTACAATATCTCAAGGTCTTCTCAAATGATTGAAAGAGGGTAGAGGATAGGATTGACCTTAGTCAGAAAGGAAAACCTTCCATTGAAAGGAGGAGTTTATTTTTACATGGTTGCAGTAAAGGGTGAAATAAGAGCAGTTTAAAAGCAAACTCACTGCAGGAGTGGCTGTTTGCCCCCTTAAACCAGCTGCTTGGTCTGCTTACTAATGTACTTGCCATCGTGACTGCCTGCATGTGGTGTGTGCTTGGTCCTCTGTTTGACTGAGGAATTTGCAGTACTGGAGGTTTCACGAGCAAGAAGAGATGTAGAGACGCCGAGACCTGGCAAAGTAGTATTTACAAACTACAGATTAAGCTCGATGCTTTTATTGATTAAAAACAGTTGATGCTGTTCAAAAATACCGCATCTTTTTTCTTCTCCTGTGGTGTTGCTATTTAGAATCAAAAGCAAGTGGTGCTCTGTGTAGTTAGCCACTAAAACCATTCAAATGGTAGAAAACAAAATTCTAATAAAATCCTTGTGCTACGGGCGTTTTGGTGTATGGAAGGTAAATTACAGGCAATGAGTGCTCAGCTGAGATAGTTGGGAGAAACTGACAACCCAGAGCTCTAAAACGTGACAGTCTGAGCACAGCCTCCACCATAAGAAATTCCAGCCCTTAAGCACAGGAACGCACAGACGGAGCGCTGTGAGGGGGCAGTGCAGCTTCTGAAGCATTGACTTAGGTTGAGAGGAGTTGAGAGCGTCTTACATGCAATCATTCAGGACGTTGGAGCGCATGCAGAAAGCAGCAGAGTGTTAAAATCTAACAAACTGTTTTCCCTCAACTAATAAGTATGAAATAGTATAACCTCAAAGTTACCTATGTACCTTCTCAACACCTGGGATATGGAAATACACTTGGTAATGTGCCTACAACGTGGTCATTTTTCTTTAAATATATGCTGAAAATGGATGTTGGTTTTTTATTAAATCTGAGAATCACACCAGCAAATTTGTTAAAGATGCAGAATCGTGTTTAGCATCCTTCATCAGGTCACTTTCACCAGTATGCACTTAGAACTCCTATCAGCTGGGGCACAGGGAGGTAGCTGGGCTGAATGTTCTTTTGAGGATGGCAGAGTTCAGCTCTGAATGAAAATGAACTATTCTTCATTTGCAATATGGCAACAACGCACTTTTAAGGCTACAGTTCTTAGCTATGAATTCATATGTCCAAAGACCTTGCTTAAAAGAGGTGCTGCATCTGAGAAGCATGTTGCCACACACTGCCACGGTGAACGGCTATGGAGAAAACCTGTTGTAGACAAGGGGGGGAATCGCTCTTAATGGGTTTAATTATAAGGAATACTGTTAAAACTTTCTCTGTCCCAACAACGTGATGAGGATCTCAGTTTCAATTTTGAAGTCTTCCATTTTCCTCTTTCCACAGTTGGTGTTCCTAGCTCCTATTTTTGTTCATCTTTCATTCATTTGTTACGACTGTAATGCAATTGCGTTTCCAAAAGGAAATGTGACTTTCCTGTTACCACCTTTATAAACTTAACCTAAACGTATTGAATGTTCACACGTTGCATTGATTTGCATTGGGATGCCATTGTCCTGTAAAGTGCGCATTTTAAAAATACAATTGGCAAAAAGATTTGATAGTTTTACAGAAAGATTTGCTATCTCAAACTGTTTTCTATTTTCATTGAAATGACTGGGATGCTACCTTTGTAATTCTTTGAGGTCAGATTTGTGAAATAAACAATACACGAAAGCTTTCCTGTCATATACACTATATGTAGTCTGGAGTGTTGAGCAAACTTGAGTTCCTGAGTTGTAATATCTATCTGCGTATGGTATTTACAATTTTGAATGTGTGCCACTACCGAGGCGATAACGCTGTACAGTTTGGAATGGTGGTAGTTTCTGTATGGCAGTCCAGCTGAACTATTTTGATGTACTGCTTAATTTTTGAATTTTATTTTTTAAGTTGTATAATTTATTTTCTTGCAAAATAAAAATGTAATATAAAAGACTACGCATGTTAGCAAGATATTTTGGTCTTTTTCTCCTGCTAAAGGTTTTGGTCTCTTTCAGGCGCCGCTCCTAAAAAACACCAGTAGCTGGAAGTGGCTGGATTCCAAGTCTCAAAGTCTATTTTGATCAGTGTCAGTTTAGGAAATAAAAAGCAAAAAGGCAAAGTGGGGTGAGGGAGGAAAGACGCATAAAGACTTCCAGCTCCTTTCTTGTCAGGGCCTTCAGGTACTGAAGTCTGCAATGACTTAAAATGGCCATCACTGATCATTGCTGGTGCCTTCACCGTGTTGCTGGGACTGGCTCACAGAATGGCCCAGGTTGGAAGGGACCTCAGGGATCATGAAGCTCCAACCCTCCCCCCACGCCCCACATGCAGGGCCACCAACCTCCCCATTTAATACTAGACCAGGCTGCCCAGGGCCCCATCCAACCTGGCCTTGAACACCTCCAGGGACGGGGCATCCACAGCCTCTCTGGGCAGCCTGTTCCAGCACCTCACCACTCTCTCTGTAAAGAACTTCCCTCTGACATCCAACATCAGTCTCCTCTCCCTCAACTTAAAACCATTTCCCCTTGTCCTGCTGTTATCTACCCTTTCAAAGAGTTGACTCCCCTCCTGTTTATAGGCTCCTTAATAGCCTCATTTTGTTCCAAGCAGTGTGGGAACTTGGCTGCTCCACGCTGTGCTTCTGTGATGGCTTCTCTTCTCTGATTGTCCTTCTATTTCAATGGGAGTTTTATTCTTACTTCTCAGCTCCTTTTTTTCTCTTAGTGCACCAGTGAAACCCAGCATTTTGTGCTTTCTGGTACATGCAAAGGTTTGAGTGGAATAATTAGTTTTTTTGATTGACTCTTCAGCAAGCATGGCAATTATCAACCTGGCAGTTGCTATCGGTAGTGCTTTCACAATGACTTTGTGTGGTCACAGCTTAGGCATGATCAGTGGCCTAAATGTGGAAGGTTTCAAACCTTCATTCTTCTGATAAACCTAGAACCTGGCTTTATCTTCGTCTTTGCTTAACACGGCACCATCCTTGAGCAATGCACAGGCAGGGTCCCTGCTTATCATTTCAGTCGTTTTAGCAGTGGAGATCTGCTTGGTGACGTGAGCTGGGTGCTGTGCGCTGCACCAAGTGCCATCTGAGCAGTGTGCAGGAGGGGAGTGGTTGGAGAGCGCGTGCTCTGCTGCTGCTTCCATCTGCTCAGCTGTGCTGTGGGCACTGGACTCACTTCCTGAGCTGAGGGAAGGAGCACACCGTGCTCCATTTCAATAGAGTGAAAGACTGAAATCTGAAATTACCAACACTGAAGTTAGGACATTATAGACGTTACTGGTGTGAAGTGGTAAAAGAATTAAAGAAGGCAATCTTTTGTCTTTTGTCTTTTGTCTTCTGTGCGCTTCTATTTTGAAGACCAAGGTCTAACATCATTGTACAGCTCAGGATTTGCTACGTATTGATTTCTACTACCAAAGACATTCAGGGAAGTGGCACACCTCCCTTCAGCAGCAGGGAGCTGCAGGAACAAATTCAGCAAGCAAGCAGGGCTCACTGCACCAGGCAGGCACGCTGGGTGTCTCAAAGTCCCCCAGGGCAGATGCCATTCTGCTGTCACTTCTGGGGGAACTGGGGTATGAAACAGCTTCTGCCTGTGCTGCATTGCCTATCGCTGCGGCCAGTCTTGGTGCCAGGGTTCTTAGTGAGCTTTATCTTTGTCTTTGCTTAACGTGGCAACATCCATTGCTGGCATGGAAAGCAAACTGCCATAGAAGTGAGGAAACTAGGGCTATGGCCTAGAGAATACAACTATGGGTGTTTTGGAAGTAGAAAGGCAGAGAGTCAAGAACTATTTTTGAAGCCCTGCAACATCAGCACTGGGGAGTACTTAATAAAAACCAGCAGATTGGCTTAAAATGCTGAAACATGGGTTGTCTCTAGCAGTTGCTGGAGATGCAGTCGTGTATTAGATAAATACATGTCTAACGGATGCATTGAAGGCAGGACATACCCTCTGCCATTACTAAACAGTGAAGATACGTGGTCAGGAAATCCAGAGCACTGTGGCTCTCCTGCTCAGCCTCAAGCACTGGGCAGTTGTGCTGTTCTGTGCAGTCTCTAGTGAACTCTCTCTTCTTGAATTCTCCTAAATATAAATTATCCTAAAAAATCTTAAAGCTCTCCAAGAAGAAAACGGTTAAGGGAAAACGGAGGGGGAAAAAAAGGGAATAATAAGCTGACTGGTGAAAGCAACAGGTACAGGGGGAGGAAGGAGGGGGATGTGTGAGTTTCACAGGACCAAAGCCATAAAATGCTGGAGAGCACCCAGCACAGCACCTTTGCCGATGCCTGCTGTCCCCTGCCCTATCCCTGCGGCCGCTGACATCCCACAGGCAAAAGGCTTTTCTCCCTCCCCACGGTGTGATGCCTGCTGGGCTGGGCCAGGTGGCAGCCGGCAAGGACGTGGTCCTGTGCCTCCATGTGGGGTCGGGGAAGGGGGCCTGTATGCAAACATTCTGTTTATTTACCCTTCTGCTTCTCAGGGAAAAGTGCAGCCCAAGCTGCCAGCAGAGACGCTGCACCCAGCTGCATCTCCAGGCACGTGGCAGCACATGGCACACGGGGGAGCTGATTTGGATGGGTTATTTGTTTGGCCCATTGAAAGTTCTTCCTGTGTTTTTTGATGTTAAAAGCTTTGTATTCTGAAATACATATTCTGGGAAGAGATGTTTCTTTTTTCTTCACATGGCTTCTCCACGTGCTAGAGTTCTGCAGCTTGAGACTCACTTTTGACCTTATGTTACTTCAAAAACACCTGTCCTGCCCTGGGTCGGAGGTGTCTGTACAGCTTGGGGTTCCCAGTATCTTAAGGGACATGGGATTATCTGCACCCTCCTTTTTTCTTATGCAAATGCCAATAAATGGTATTTTAATCAATATGTCTGGGAGTCCAAGAGCTCTTCCAGGTGAGGCAACATCAGTGCTGACCCCAGTGTGTTACGTTTGGCACAGCTGGCAGAATCCCAGTGGGCTGTGGCACAGGAGGAGAAAGGAACAGACTGAGTGCCTCTCCTGAGGATTTCTTTGTGGAAATTGCACTGCGTGTAGAAATGGTTCCAGTGTGCATTCACAGTGCTGCTTCAAGGATACCTGCACAGGCATACGATCTCTACAGATGCAAAGCCAGATCCCCACAAAAAAACAGTGCCTTAATAAATGACTAGAATTGTTTTATTGGCAGACAATCCTGTAGGAGCTCTAAGGACCAAAGTGCTGGGGAACCTCTCCACAGATGGGATCTGCACATGGGCTGGAGGTGTGGGTGCAGCAGCATGGCTCAGGGCTCCCAGCCTGGATCTGACACATCTGTGCTCATCACAGAATCATAGGGACTGGGAGGGAGCTCTGAGGTCACCCAGTCCAACCCCTGCTACAGCAGGTTCCTACAGGTCACACGGGAAAGCATCCAGGTGGGTTTTGAATCCCAGCCTCCACAAGCTCTCTGGGCAGGCTGTTCCAGAGCTCTGTCACCCTCACAGAAGTTCTTCCTCACATTTTATGGAATTGCCTATGTTGCAGTTTGTGCCCATTGTCCCTTGTTCTATTGCTGGGCGTTAATGAAGAGAGATTAGCCCCATCCATCCATTTAACTCCCACCCTTTAGATATTCATAAGCATTGATAAGATCCCTCCTCAGGCTGACCAGCCCCCAGTCTCTCATCCTTTCCTCCTAAGGGAGATGCTCCAGGCTCCAAACATCTCCGCTGCTGTCCCCTGGATTCTCTCCAGAGGTTCCCTGTCCATTTCCAACTGTGGAGCCCAGAACTGGGCACAGTATTCCAAATGTATTACGGTTGTCTTTCTTGTATGGTGCTCACATATACTTTCAGGTTAACATCTTCAGTTCTTCCTGAATCAGTACCTGCCAGTCCCTGCACCACCTCAAGTGCTGTGTTCAGTTTTGGGCATCTCAGTACAGAAAGGACATGGAGGTGCTGGAGCAGGTCCAAAGAAGGGTAACAAGGCTTGCAAAGGGCTTGGAGAATACGGCCTATGAGGAGAGACTGAAGGAACTGGGGCTGTTCAGGCTGGGGAAAAGGAGGCTGAGGGGAGACCTTACTGCTCTCTCCCAATACCTGAAAGGTGCTTACAGCGAGAGCGGGGCTGGTCTCTTCTCACTGGTGACAGGTGGCAGGACGAGGGGAAATGGCCTCAAGTTGTGCCAGGGTAAGTTTAGGTTGGATGTCAGGAAAAACTTCTTTACAGAAAGGGTTGTGAAGCACTGGCATAGGCTGCCCAGGGAGGTGATTGAGTCACCATCCCTGGATGTGTTTAAAAACCATTTGGATGTGGTGCTCAGGGACATGATTTAATGGACGGTTGTTAGAGTTAGGGCAGTATGGTCAGGTTGTGGTTGGAATCGATGATCTTTAAGGTCCTTTCCAACCTGAGCTGTTCTATGATTCTATGACTATGCGGTTCGTACAGACCCTGCGCTCTCCCTGCCGAGGCTCCCCAGGCCCCCTACCAGCGAAGCAACGCAGCAAACACCTGCGGCCTGTGCTCGTCCCAAGCGGCTCTCACCTCTTGTCCGGAGGCTTTCGGACACCTAGAAATTAAGAAATGCCTACCATGGAGCTGAGAAGGGGCGTGCGAAGGGGTGTGCGAAGGGTCCGCAGCACCACACGACTCCCGCTGCCGTTCACTGCCCGGCCCGGCAGCGGAGCGAGGGCAGGGCAGGGCAGGGAGGCGGCGTGTGACAGCGCGGGCCGGCTTCGAGCTCAGCCAATAGCAGGGCAAGAATTAGTCCCGCCTTCAGCCCATTCACCAATGGGAAGCGGGGAGGGGACGGCGCGCGGCCGCCTATAGGCTGCTGGAGGGGCGGCGGTGAAGGTGACGGCTGGCGGCAGGATGGCGGCGGTGGCGATGCTGGGTCGGCGGTGCGCGGCGGCCGGGCCGCTGCGGGTGAGACGGGGCGGGCGGCGCTGAACCGGAGGGAGCCTTC